GCATGACAAAAATTGTTCTTGCTGCAGAAGCTGCTGGCAGAACCTTTTTCTAGCAGTAGTGTGTGGCAGTTGTGTGTATTCAGAAATTTTATAATCCAYGGGTATATACAATAGCAAATACCGGCAGCAGCTTGCTGTAACACTTCCAGTGCAGTTTAGTTAAGAAGTCCCTATAGAACTAATTATAATRTGAAGCTGACAGCAAAATAAAAGTATCTAATTAAAAACTATGATGTTTTTAAGAATCAAATTGTTTTAAGATGGCACTGGATTTAGTCAAACAGTCAACAGAACCAACTCATGGAAATAAAATTCGTAGCACGTGAGTGTTTAGTGCAATGACTTAATTTAATTCTCCTTCTATATCGCAGGACCTGTGATGTGACTATTGTGCACACGTACATCGAGATGGCAGTGCTCAAACAACATATCGTGCAGCTCTAGTGGAGGTTTATTTTCTCCTGATAATGAAGGAGGAAAATCTGGTATTTCTGTTAATTGAGGAGCAGCACTATTTTGCTAATTTGTCAAACAACATGGCCACAGTTTCCAACGAACTGCAGGAATATGTCAGTATGCTGACCAGTCTCTCCTAGTCTCTCCTAGTCAGCACAGCCACATGAGCCGCCTGTGTCTCCTCACTATCGCCGTCCACAAGTTATTTGTATCTTTAAAAGATTTATTTGACTGTCTTTACAAGTTTTACTGGAACATTTATACAGATGCGAGAACTGTTGTATTTTTATTTTTGTATCTGACTTGTTTTAAATTGTTGACACTTTTTTTTTCCTGGCTGTGCTTAAACTAGCAGTTAGCTCGACAACTTGTTGAGCTTTAAATTTCTACACACCAATGTCGTTCGAAAAGCTGTGATTAGTCGTAATAACTTTTCCACGGAACCACCTCATRACTAAGTCGGTCATAGAATAAAAATTTGTTGTTTTTCTTGCTTGCTTTTGTTGGCAGGAATAATAAGATGAGAACAGACCAAGCAGTAAAATAGATCTAACTTTAAGATGGTAGTAGAGTGCCTTTTAAACAAAGCTTATCAGCACACGGGAACAAAGCCACAAATCTCATTAAAGCTGGGAAGCTGCAYCACTAAGATCAGCGTGACCTGACTTCAAAATGTGAACATGACAGTTATGTTGCATCTAATGAGGACAAACTGGAAATCTATCATTAAATATTGCTTTTTTATTTTTATATTTTGTTATGGAAAAAACACTTGTTGACAAATATTTGCTCACTCAAAAAATGCTAAAGTAATACAGACTCAAATTTACTATCCTAAAGGATCTTGTCTTAACAGCTGTCTGATGACATCATTTGTTTTAGTTGTGCATGAGCAGGATTAGGGTCATGATTTCTAACGTGGCAAAAATGTGTTGAAAGTCTCTTATTTTAAAATTAAATGTCATTGATTGATTTCTGGGCTTTTGCTCACTTTTAATTGGTTTGTCATCATACAATCAGCCATGTAGCTTTCTTACTACCTTGCTCGCAGTCATTGAGGCCACAGCTATCATACTAGATTGAGACCTGACCGGGCTCTTGTCCTAATCCTCAGTGTCCAGATTACCGCTACCTTCCCTCCCTGCAGGATGACCTATTGGCAAACTGAATCTGAGCTGAGATTGGATAAAGGCAGTGAGTTTAGAAGTGGAGGGGAAGCCTGTGGTGGCTAACGGTGACCCACTATTTGTTTCCTACGTCAAGTCCATCTGTTGTGTACTCTGTGTGTAGCTTCACAAGCCAGAAAGAAACAAAAACATTTAAGAAGCTATTTTTTATTCATTCTTTTCTGTCTTTAATTTCCCTTCTGTTCCTCTTTCAAGCCCCCTTTCCTCTTTCTCAGGCCATCCATCCTTTTAACTTTAGAGTTCCTGACCTCCTTTAGCCTTTTATTGTCCACTTCATCTGTTCTCCAACCTCTCCCCATCTCCTGCTATTGTGGCTGTTGCCTTGCACATGTTTTATCCTTGCTCCTCCTTTTTGTCATCATCCTGTGATTTATACACTTGCACTGGAGGGGTCGATGTACCCCTTCTTTATAAGGCTGAGCAGGAGAGCGATAACAGAGCAGGAATAGGAATAAAGAGGAGGATGTGGTATGATTTGCCAGCCAAATGAGAAGCTTTGACTKCCAGTAAGTAGTTGGCAGTGCACTGATTAGCCTCAAAGCAGAGAGGAAGTCATTTTTTTACTTGTTCGGTGAGCAACAAAGTAAAGCCCCAGGATGGTYGAAATAAATCGGGCACCCTAAAGGAGGTTTAATTGAGGGAATTTTTAATTTTTTAAGGACAACTAGAAAAATTAAAGCTGTCTGTTTGACCTGGGTTTTCTATCAATGAGCAGGATGTGATCTACGTTGACGCCCCTCCCTCACAGATGGCAGGGTGGGAATGGAGCGGCGGGTGCTTTGAATAATCCTGTGTGGTAGTGCAGATGGCTTGGTGTCAAGAGGAATGGCCGCCAGTGTTAAGTTATCAGAGCCGAGGAGGGCTGTGGCAGACASGATTTTTACACCCAACGCTGTGTGTGTGTGAGAGGGATTTATTGCACTGTGGAGCTTATGTTGACCTGGGGGTCTATGACCTTTCATAGGCTATTAACTACCTCAGGATTGTAAATGTGTGTTGTTGTTTTTTTTTACCATAGTAGAAATCACCTGTTCTGATCATTTTTAGTTTGAGACAAAATTTTGTGCAAAAAAATCCTAAATGACTATTAAAATACTT